TATTTGCAGATAAAACAGGAGCTTATGTTGTTGCAAACTAAGTATTTGTGCCCAAATCTGATTTTGCTAGGACATCTTACCCAAACGAAAACTTCTCCATAGGAACTAATAATAATACACAGTTCCCACAGAACCCAGGGAAAGCACAGCCCTGTGACTCTGGCATTGAGATCAAGGACACTGCTGACGGAGAAGTACCTCCAGGCCCACTCCAACTAAGAACGCTCAGAATGCTGCACTGAACAGATATTGCTTCTAGACTGTTCCTTTCCCAGTGGAACTCCCCCTCTATCCCCTTCATTAAAGCTCCTGTCCTCTAAGGCAAGCCCACAAGATTTGTGCACCATCGAGGAGGCTGCTGGTGCTGGGCTGAAGGTAGCTAACAAAGGTGCAAAAATAACATTATATTTCTTGAATGAAAGATGTTGTTGCCTGAATCATCTGCCTAAATATTACTGAGAGGTTGGTTTCTTGAAATTAATGGCGATTGCGACCTTGGTTGTTGGTTCCCAAACTTATATTTCACTAATAAGTATATCTAAGAACCTGGTTCCCAAAATGACCAACCAACCAACCAAAAATCCATTTTTAAGAAAAACATTTACAGTCAGCTGTTACATATGTCACTTTACACTAAGTTTTCAGGACTTAAAATGAGTCCATGCTGGGAGTAAATTTTATAGCTCTGTCTTCAAAGGAACAAAAAGGAATTTCAGAATTCCTTGTTCTCACACTGAGCCAAATGCATATCACCTTGAAGGCACATCTATCAATACAGAAACCATGGACTGTATTTCTTAAGTTCTCTCCAACTGTAAGATTCTAAAAAGCTAGGAGAGTGGTTGTCAAAGCTAGGCCTAGCAGGAGCATCTCTTGAGAATCTGTTAGAAATGCAAATTCTTGCTACCTCCACCTACTCAGATACTCCAAGAGTGGTCTCAGCATCCATGTCAAAAAGCTGTGGTAGCAGCAGGTCTCCAGCAAGGCCCCAGGGACCCCTCTCTTTGTGTGGCTCCATCTCACAACAATGGGGCTGACTTCTACAGCAAACAGAAAGTAGCCAATGGGACAGTTTACGACCCCATAAAAAGTACTGTGGCCTCCTCCCTCCCTGATCTCTCTCTCTCTGCCTCCTTTACTCTAGGGAAGCCAGCCGCCATGCTGTGAGGGTACTCAAGCAGACCTAGCAACACATCCACATGGTAGGAAACTGAGGCCTCTGGCAAACAGCCATCTGACAAGTGAACCTTGTGGAAGCAAAGTGGCCAGCCCAAGCCTAAACAGCTCAACTTTGTAAGATATGGAGCCAAGTCAGTCAGCCAATCTGCTCCCAGATTACTCTGACCCACAGAAACTGTGTGAGATAGTAAACGCTTATTGTTCTTTTCAGCATCTAAGTTTTAGGGTAATTATCTTTGCAGCATTGCTCTTTTTCATTCTTTTGTGACTAGCAAAACTCAGTCACCTCTGGGTGATTCAGAAGCTAAAGTTTGAGAACCACTATGCTAGAACATTCGTTCATTCTCTAAATAATTATTTTTTGTACCTAATGTGTGCCAAACAAAGCAGGGACCCAACGATGGACAAAACAAGACACTTTCCAGACCTCAATGCCTCCTGTTGTTTTTCTTCATTGCACTTATCAGTTTGCATATTTTATCTATGTGCACATACCTATGTTATGTCTGTCACCTGCTGCACTGTTAACTTCTGGAGGACAGAGACTTTGCCCACTACCATACACCTGAGGCACACAGGAGATGCTCAACTAATATCCACTTGGAGGATGAATTTTCCCTTCCAGCTTCATTGCCTTCCTCTGATACGATGAATCCTGGCCCCAAGAACAGGCATCTAAATAGGACCAATAACATTACTTTTAAGGAGGTCAGGTGTGTTCCCCTGGGAATCTAACTGCCATTAGCTAAATTTCCAGAAAAAGAAATGTCTTTTATGTTCAAAACAGTCAACTTTTAGAGTCCTTCTATTTCACACATGCAGATTCATAAACACTTATAAGGAAAATGTATGCAGTGGGTTTAGAGATGTAAGACATTAAATGTGAGACTATTTTTCACGGGTTGATAAACAGCCTGTGAAGAAAAGCGATTCACACACTTCACCGCCAGGTGGAGCCCTGCGCTAATTAGGAGAGCAGGCAATTGGGAACACTGTCAGGGTGTTCTCCACTGGACAGCAACCCACCGACAGCGTGCCTGGGCAGAACGTGTGAGCCTGCACACCGAGACTTTCTAATTTCGCTGAACAGCTGGCTCCACGACGGGTTCTTCTGTTCAGTAAATGACATGAGACAGCAGAGTGTCTGGAAATGATGCGGTGAGACAACAAGTCACTAGCTTTTCAACATGACCTCAGCATTTTGAGAACACTTTCTGATAAAAGAAAAAACAATCATTGACTTTTAAAAAACTCTTCTGGCAGACAGATTGAGATGTGGGTGACATCATTTTACGGATATATAAGAATATATGATAAATTATAAAACAGACTCTGGCTCTCAGCATATTTCTGAGCTAGATCAAAAAGTAGCATACAGATCACATCAAGTGGGGGATTGAGAGGGTGGCTACTGGCACAGCTTGCCCAGGCTGTATCTCCTGCCTATCCTTAGTGAGGGGCTCAAACTTAAATATGGCAAGGGACAAGAGTGACAAACAAATTCAGTGACATCAGGCCATGCCCTCTATCACATCAGTATCCCCACTCACAGAGCCCAGCCTCCCCAGAGGGAACTTAAGGGCACTTTATCGACTTGCTCTTTCTCATTCTTTTGTAACTAGTAAAACCCAAGAGTGCTGCCCTACAGACCTCCTTTGATAATGGAGTTGCTCTCTGCTGCCCAACACGGTACCCACCAGGAACATGTGGCTACTGACACTTGAAATGGGGCTAGTGAGACTGTGGGACTGAAGTTTTCCTCTTATTTAATCCTAATTGATTTAAATTAAAATAGTCATTTGTGGATAATAGCTGCCATACCAAACAGGGCAGTGTTAGAAAATAATAACAATAGCAAATTGGCCCGGGAACTCACCTGAAGAAAGGTTTTGTTATACCCATTTATGAAATGAGCATATGGAGGCTCCCAGGATGACTTGCCCACAATCAGAAAGCTAGTAAATGGCAGAAAGAAATTCACACCCAATCTGCCCAACCCAATGGCACTCTTGCAATGACATAAAACTGTAATCCCCGTTCTTTAGGTAAAAGGAGCCTTCAAGGCAAGCATTAGCTTCTGAAAACATCAAATTGCTCAAAATTCTCAGTAAGTAGCTAGGAAAGGAAGCTGACCATATGGGGCATAATTTCTTTCAACAAAAATACATAGGGAAACTTTTTTCTCTAGCTATGACTATCTAACTTGACTACTTCAAACTATGTGTAGATACTAAGTATACCTGACAGCTCCCGCACACTGTGCCCTAAAACTTTTGCTCTAATCAAATATTACTCACATGAATTCATGAGAAGGCAACAATATGAAAAAGACTTTATTAAACTTCTGCCACTTCCTATTATGCTAAGCATCATTCTATTCCGTTTACCCATTGCTGACAAACTAGATTATACTTTCTTTTCTAAATCAACAGGATCCAATGATACTACACAAAAGATAATGAGCTTAGGATTTCAAAAGAATGTCTAGAAATAAAATGTTAAAGGTGTGACTTTAAAAAGTGTGTATGGGGGGAGCCACGTTTAAGGAAAATATGCAAAGAGTCATCATAAATTTTATCTTGAATTCTACGCAAAATAGTTCACTTTCTTATAATGCCAAAAAACCCACTCCCAAATCTGAAATCCTCAATTCGAACACCTGTGTGCCCTGCATCCATAACCAAATCAGTGTTACCTCCTCACATCTCTTTCATATTCACAGGGACCCACTGTGCTGCTCAAATTAAGGTGCAGCGTTGTAAATTCACTGAAATTAGGGTGGAGAACAGTACTGTTTTTTACGAACAAAACTAATATCCTTTGGTTCTATTACAGCTTTCATACTGCCAAGGGGATCTAAGAAATTTCTTAATATTACCCCTCTCAAGTAAAATCAAGGAAATAATTGGGTGATAAACTAAAACATGGGTAGAGAAATGGGGTAAGACCACAAACTTTGAGGATCAAAGCCTGGCTGAAAAAAATATATAATAAGCCAAGTGTAATCATCTTGTTATGTAAAACCTATTTTTGGATTAGAGCTAGTAGACTCTGGTGGTGAGAGCTGTACGAGGTGCCAGAATTAGTCTCATCAAAGCCTAGGCACCCCTAGCACAACACTGTGGTCACAAATTCAGCTTCTCAGCCTGGCCTCATGTCAATACTGTGCATGAGAGTGGGTGGGGCATCAAAGATGGCTGAGGTAGGGGTCTGTGGGTCCTCCTCTGAGATCTGGTAGGCCCTTGACTACTCTGACCCACGGAACACAGCACAGTGATGCTGTGCCAACATCTCGGCTTCAGCCTTAGGAAACTGGCAGCTTCTATTTCCCGTCTTTTGGAACACTCGCCAGGAGCTCTGGCTGCCATTTAAGAGGCCCAGTTACCCTCCGACCACCATGCAAGAGACCACATGCAGCCCCATCTGAGCCCGGCCTCCCAGCCATTCTTGCCGAGGGGCCAGACATGAGAATGAAGCCACCCCAGGAAGCAACCAAATAAAACCACGTGACCCTCATCAGTGCCAGAGGAACAGTAGTATAACCCAGCCAAGCCAGTCCTGACACACAAAATCATGAGACGAAAATTAAGCAGCTCTTGCTTTACACCTTGAAATTTGGGGGTAGTACGTTACAGAGCAATAGCAACTGGAACAGACATTACTCTTTTCTTCAGTTAAGCTATTTCCCTCCAAAAACACCTCTTAATTGCTCTTATAGATAACGGGAATGTGTGTACAGTAAATATCGGGCCTAACCCCGCCTGCCCCCTCCCCTCCCCACTCCCCCTTTCCGATCATTCCACTTTTTAACGTACACCTACCAATGAAGCCAGAAGATGGTGGGTTGGGCTGAATCTTCTCCTTAGTGTTCTCCTGGATAATGTCCCAAAGCTGCCATATAAATTTAGGATGAAGAATATAAAATGGCTGATTTGGGTTTCTCTGGCGATGCTGAACATATGGAGTGAACAGGTTGTAATCTGGCTTCTTGTACCACTAAGAGAAAAAAAAAATCAAAAGAATGGAGTGCTGAGAACCACACCGTATGAAGGAAACAGGGCAGCACTGAGGGAGGGGCCGAGGGAATGAGGACAAAGAGAGACCAGGGTTCCAGCCCTGAGAGGCTGACACTATTCTTCAGTAAAATGAAGAAGATGGCAATGGCACTGGCTGGCAGACTTTTCTGTACAGGGCCAGATAATAAACACTTTAGGCTTTCAGGGCCATATAGTCTCTGTGGCAACTACTCAACTCTGCCTTTGAACTGTGAAAGCAGCCACATAAGATACATAATAAATGGGCACAGCTTTGCTCCAATAAAACTTTATTAAAAAAACAGGGCCGTATTTGGCCATTGGCTATAGTTTCATGAACCCTGGGTTCAATAAGTGTATTTCAAAAACATGTTTTCCAAATCTAATCTACACTGACAGAAAGTACGTCCATTACTGCTTAGGTCTGGGACTGGGCTGCAAGGACTGACGGATGGGACAAGGGAACTCTCTAGAGTGACGGAAATAGTCTCTTTTTTAATTGTGGTGGCGGATACATGACTATGCTTTTTTGTGAATGCTCATCAAAATGTACACTTACACTGATTATATACAAATTATTTTGTGAAAAAATGAACTTTAAGGATTTAAAAAAAATGTCTTCAGAAGGATATCAGGTGCCACCATGAAAAAGGACTTGGAGAAGATGTCTGAGGGCTCATGCTCCCTTCAAACAGACACCCTGTGTATATAGTAAGATCTCAAGGAATATTCCATGGTTGAATGTGTTCTGTGGCTTTAAAACTTTGAGAATGACTGGACCAGGTCGTCTTTAGCAAAGTATGCCCCTGAGCCACGAGGTGGTGGGACTAAGCATGAGGAACGTGGGCCTTGCTTCTGCATGCCTCCTCCCAGCCCTCACACAGCAGTAGGGGGCACAGGCCCTGCAGACACAGGCCTGACATTTGGATTCCAGCAGTGTTGCTTCCCACACGCACTGGGTTAGACAGCTCTGTGCCCGGGGCTTAGATGCTTCCAACAGAGAAAGAAACAAGGTCCAACAACTAGAAGTTCTCAGTCTGTACACAAACAAGAGAGCTGTCAGAACTTAAAGCCAGAGAACCCAAGGCTGGTACGGAGGCAGAGAAGTCCAAACTGCCATATGACACTTGATTCTCAATAAAGGGTACATATGATAATCAACTGGCGCTTTCTCGAAAAACATACATCAAGGCTGTATGCTACATTCTGGAAATGGGGCTCTGACAGATATATTTGAAAAATACTCTCCAGGTGATTCTGATTTGCGCTCCTGGTTAAAAGCCAGTTAGTAATCACACTAGGTCCAGTCCAGCCATAATCTCAAGATGTACAGTGACAGACACTGCTTTTAGCGGGAGCCACTTGACCTTGGACAGCTCTCTTAGAAAGTTATTTCCTGGTGGAACCAATATCTGTTCCCCCACTTTCATCTTAAGAAGATATATTCTCTTAAGTCATAGCAGAACAAGTCAAAACACACTTGGCACAGCCAACAGCATCTGTCACAAGGCTGAATTATCATGCATCTTCCCCCACCCTCTTTAAAAAACGAATACACCTGCTTTTTACCCAAAGTTTCACCAAAAGTGACTAGCTGCTCATTTAGATAGGCAATGACTTGATAGTCATGAACATAACTTGCTTACATTCTGACGGCTAGTAATCATTTGGTTTATGCTATAGCACATAAAATTAATAAGGTTTAGAGACAGAAGCCAAAGAGTGACACACTTAGAAAAAGCCTAACAGGTTCCATTTAAATAAAAATAAGCTCTTGATACATAAATTTAGATTTTCTTGCCAAGCACTTCTAATTTATTTCAAAAGGCCTTGCAACTATTTGAAAGGTGATGTAACCCTATCACATCGGAAATATTCTCAAGTTTAGTCAGCCCAACCTCCAGCATACCTAGAAATTTCTGAACATTTGGACATGGTATATATTTTTAAAAATCCTCCAGAGCAAAATCTCTTTTTCATTAGACAGACAATGTTCACTAAATAGGCTACTAGAAGTGAGTATCAAAATGGTATGAATGCATATGTATCATCCAAGATCAGTTTCATTCCGTCAATCAAAGCTTAATCTTTGACTTGCCTCCATTAATAACCAAAGGTACCTTCTGACCATTAGGGTCAGGGTAGGGGTACCAAAGGAAACACTTACCAGGTTTAGGTTTGCAGAATAAGGAGCAGGGTCCCAGGCCACCAAAATGACATCTTTATACAATGAACTGTCAATGAAGTGATGGTTGGGATTGGTCAGAATCTGCAAATATATAGAAAAATTGTTTCAAAAGAAGTGTTTGGTTCTTCAAAATCATATTTTAAGACAAGAGAAAAAAATATTTTTCTTGCTCTGATTTATTTTTAAAGTTCCTCAGACTTTATGTTTTCCTCTGGGAATGAGAGAGAGGCTGGCATTGCATGCTAAAGCACTTAAAAGAAATGCTTGGGGAAATGAGTGTTTTTTTTTTTTAATCAAATCAGTGCCTGAAAAATGTAACTCTCTAGCTAATTCAGGTGCCCCCAACCTCTTCTATAATTGCCTTCATGGGTTATTTGATGAGTTGCAGGCGTGGATGAACTGAGTTATAAAGGTGCCTCCAGAGTGCCAGTCTCAGGACAAAGGTGGCACAGAGAGACAGGCAACCTGAGTCAGCCCCAGTACAACAGTCCTGACTTTGTGGTCCTATCTGGTCCTGATGACTTCTTCAATCTCACCTGCCAATCACTTTTTTTTTTTTTTTTAAGCTATAGTTTTGGGGGAAAAAAGTCTTGATTTTCCTCAGTTTTAAGGTACAATTTTTCACAGCTTTTAAGATGCACTTTCTTCCTTCACATTTTAATGTATCCAAAGTTAAAATGTATCTCACAGGTGGCATGTATCTTAATTTGATGGGGTTTATCTCTTCTTCTAAAAAGCTGTTATCAAACAAATGGTGACTCTTATAATCAATGCTATTTATAAATTAAGGAAATACAGTAATTGTTTTTTACATTGCTGCACACTGCCTGGCTCAGGGTACTATAAAGAATTCTAATCTTTTGTTCTTCAAGCAACTTACCATACACTACTCATCACCTCATATTTTTCTATAAAGTTTGAAACTCTAGAAGTAATTTAGAAAACGTTCTTAGTAAGAACACAAAAGAAAGAGATATTTTCATTTTTCCATTAAACAATCCATTTTCGTTTTTTAAATTTTCAAGTAACAGACAAAAGTTTTCAAGCTACCCAACAGACTCTTGGATTTTGTGCTTTCATTTTTCTCTGCCTCATCCACTGCCTTCTCATGATCACAAGCTCTTCCAAGTTTAACAGTCTTTTTCTAAGTTCACAAAATGCATCGTGCCAAGTCTACATATATATATATATATATACACACATATATATATTTTTTTAATCTACACTCTGATTTTTCCTTTTGATCATATTTGCTTATTTTTTCCTATTTGTCACACATGAATTCTCATTTATCTTCATTTTTCCTCATTAATTTTTTTTTTATAATTATAAGATCCATAGAAATAAGCAAGATCATGATCACGGATAACTGGTTATTTCTTTTCACTCATGCAGTCAGACAATTTAGCTATAAAAAGTACATTTGTGAAAACACTGCGTCCATCTTACCTGGGAATTCACGACACGCACAGTGGTTTTATTGCCGACATCTCTCTCATAGCCACGGGTAGGAGCAGCGTTAAATCTCAAAACTGCATCATGGGAATCTAAGGGCACATAAGTGACAAACTTGCTTTTTTTTTCTCTGTAGAATCAACATAATCTAGGAAAATATGTTAAAGTTAATCTTTCCATACCTGAACCTAATTAGACACCAAAAATTAAGAGATCCATCCATATACATATTTTTAGAATACTGTTTGTTTAGAATGAGGTCCTGGCTAGGGGCAAATCAACATGGAAACATATAAATCTACTCAATTACAAGTGGTCCTATATCATCTAAGTTATATTTAGACACTTGTTATGTGTATACATTCTTCAAAAGTGACATGCTTTATGCAGCCATTTCCCTAAAGATCCCAAAACATTTTGAAGATGGAATCTATAGGAACAGGTAAGGATGCCATAGACAGGCTGCTCACCTGTGGCTTCTCACTGCTTGTAAAGCACGGGGGCTGCTTCTGGTGCCGCTAAGGCTGCTGCCTGCACCAAGACCAAGTGAGTCTCCCACACACCGAGAGCCACAGCCTTCAATTGAACTTAACCACAGTGCTACTTTGTGCTTAAACAGAAAACCAGCCCTGATTTCTGTGCGGCTTTACACACTGCTGACGATGCCAAGAAAACCCAGGTGTGAGCAATCTTAGAGCATGCCTAATTTCCAGCAATGGCCTGACTTACTGCCTCAGCCCCGGCGGAAGGGAGCGACCACCATCAACGGCATCAGCTACCAAGGCTCTTTATATTCTGTAAGGGCACCTTCAGACCACAACATAAATCTATGCCTCTTCATCTGACTTGACAGACAGACTTTTCCAAGTTCTCTGAGGTCTTGAGTGAAAACAAGACTCCCGTATCATGAAGGCTGACAAGGGAGACAAGAGTGAGAGGTAGAGGAAAGCAGATGGAAATGGGAGGTATGTCCCCTTTCCACAAAGCAGTCTATATACATTCATGTGTCTTGAAATTTCCTGTGCCAGCTAATGTGTTTCCCAGAAACCAGACTGAAATCAGAGTGAATCGGCAATCAGGAATTTCCACGGGCTATCTTTAGCTTCTAGAATTCCATGCGCATTTCAAGTTTAACTTGGAGCAATGACAATGCCTATTTGTGGGAGAGTACGAGGTGAGAACATGTATTCCTGATGTGCCAGAGAGCCTATGGATACATGCCACGTTTACCGTGACCATACCCCACTCAAGTCCCTAAAGCAGCTAGGCTTCTTGAGTCCTGCTAACCCCTCCTGAGCAGTCTCCTTGGGAGAGATCTTCCTACTGCTTAAGAAGTGGAAACTCAGCATGCATGCCACCATTAAAACTGTTACAAAAGATGTTTCTCTTGACAAGCACTGGACTCAGAATAATTCAGATTCCAGTTTTAAGTACCAAAATTAATAAACTTTGGAACACATAATGAATACATAAAAGGTACCTGGCTATGTCATCAAAAAAAATCTCATAATGTTCTTTTAGGGGAAATTTTGCCATAGATGGCAAGCTATGACCTGCCACTTGTTTTAGTAAATAACTAAACTAAATAACTAAAGTGTGTCTGTACTGCAACAGACACACCTATTTGTTCACAATTTGTCTGTCAGGGCAGAACCAAGTTGTGAGAGACCCCATGGCTCACGAAGCCTAAAACATTTCCTCCCTGGCTCTTAAAAAAAAGAAGTTAGCCAATCTCTGCATTCTTACTTTTTGATTTCAGGACCCATTTACACTCTTGAAAATTTATGACAACCCAAAGACGTTTTGTTTATTTGGACCATATTTATCAATATATACCATATGAGAAAGTAAAATAGAAAAATACATATATTTATTAATTTAACTTAAAAAATATTTTTTTACAAAAATAACTATATTTTCAAAAACAAAAATAGTGAGAAGACTGGCACCATTTTAAATGTTTGCAAGTCTGACTTTTTAGCTGCTTCTGCATTCAATCTGTTGCAATATATTGCTTGAGTGGAAGTGTATAAAGATTCAGACGTATCATTTAAAATGAAAGGAATATTTTAAGCCTTTCCAGATTACTAGGAATAGTCTTCTTTAATACTTCATTAAAACTTGACAAGTGCTAGTTTCTTAAAAGTTAGTTGCAATGAGGAATGTGACACAATATCAATGAACTTTTCATGCTCCGTTACATTAAAACACATTAGTTTATCTTGTTCTCAATGGATGATCCAGCCGTGCACAATTTTGCAGTATTGTGCAGTGATCATTTGGAACTCTCAGTTCAATGAGTTACGCAGCATTTCACCATAAACTATCAAAAAATTAGTTAATATTACCATGGATTGCAGGTCAGTTATAAGTATGGGAGGCTTCCAAGCTCATGCTTGAAAGCTTGAATTTTATCACAGGAAACAAATAATGTCAGTTATGTTCCTAAAAGTGACAGGGTCACTTAATTCCTTTTTGAGAGAATACCTGTTATATATCCAAGTCTGACTAAAGTAGGTCTGTCAGTCATTTATTTCAAGTAAAAGTGGTGTTCGATGACTCAAACACACAGTGTGCTGGTACGCAGAGTGCTTTTCAGATCATTTCCTGCTTTGTCTTAAAAACGTGTTTACTCAAAGATTGAGATTTAATGAAACCGATAATTTTTACTGTTTCATCAGGGACCTCCATAAGTGAAACTGGCACCTTTTTCTTTTACTTCTATGCTTGGTAGTGAAAAATACCATGACAAAAGAGTTGGGTCCTGCTGCCTTGATTTGTGTTAAGCTGTTTTACCAATCGATGCATTTGCATCATCAGTGCAAGCGTCAACAGTAAACAAACTTGAGTATTACTATAAACATAGTTTTCACCTCATGAACCCCAGAAAGAGTCTTGAACTCCCCAGTGTAAGCAGACCACCCTGTGTGAACTGCTGACCTAAGACAACCCTCTGAAGAGGCAGAGAGTGAGAAAAGCTTCCAAGCAGTGAGGTAAACTTCAGGCACTCAGAGGTCCTCAGAACAACACTGGGGCAAGCAGAGTGGTGCCAGCACCCCTAAGACGCAGCCCTCGCACTGAACCACACTGCCCTCAGACACAGCCCCGTCCAAAGGTAAGGTGAACAAACCAAGGATCCCAAGCAGTGGATGCATTTCAATTTAATTAGGTGGTAACTCCAAATTCATCGCATCACTCCTGGAAATGTCCCAGGTTTTAAATGCCAGTGTTTGACACTGAGGTGTTTTAAGCCTTCAAACAACTCCACACGGCACAGGGCACAGAAGTCTAATCTAGCTTAACTCCTTTGGAAGTGGTATGAGTCTGAAGAGTTGAAAGGCCAGTTTTATGGAGGAGGCAGGGAGATAGAGTCAGAGGCTGCTGTGGATGGAGACAACCTCCTTAAAGCTGTCAGTAAACAGTGAGTAGAAGTGGATCAAGATGAGAGGAAAAAGTGTGTGGGGGAGGATGAGCTGAGTGCGTCCATCACGCAGACATGTTTTGTAAATGTATGTCTGGCTGTGTGTGCATCTCCTTGATAACGCACCTTAAAAACTAAGCTGTCCATTCCTATTTAGAAAAGAAGAAATGGATCAGACAGCAAACACGAGGGGAATAAAGTAAAGCATCATTTCTGGAGAAGGCCTTTCCATGCAAGAGCCAGTTCACGTTGACCTTGAGAACGGAGCCAGGCTAAGCACTTTCTCTGACAAAGATTAAAACCCTTCAAGGAGCAGCCAGCCAGGAGGTGCGTGAGCACTAAGTCACTGCCTTATTTGTAAAATAGGAATAATCTTATCTATTATTTAGGGTTGCAAGCCTTCTAGCAGTTAACATATAAAATCATTTAGAACTAGACCTCGTCTACTGTAAATACCCTATTAAGTATTGTCTGTGATTACAATTATTAGCTAAAGTATTTCTAAAGAATGATGCACAAGAACATCTGAGGGCTGAACCCCTGCCCACCAATCCAGTTTTCTCTCCTTTCCCCCCCAGGCCCCTGGTGCTCACTGTAGCTCTCATCACCTGCACAATGCACACTGCTTCTCACCTACTTGCTATGCTGGCCTTTGGCCTGGATTCCCCTCTTCTGGGGAATTTTGCTAACCTACTCTCTCTGCCCAGGCACCAGCCCTCACGGTGGGTCAGGATTTCACCGTCCTCCCTGTCAGTCTACATAGCTCTCTGTCCTTCTCCAAATCTCGACATTGCCACTGCCTGCTCACAGTCTGTGTTCTCCACTAGACTGCAGCGAATTTGAGGTGTAGGTCTGTTCCTTATTCATCTTTGTGTCACTAGTAGCTGGCATAGTATCAGGCCTTGGAGAAGTGGGGATCAATAAATAATCATCGTTTACTGAATGACTATCCGACCTACTTTCTCACTTTTTTTTAGGTACCAAAATATGCCAAATCCCAAGCTCTCACCAGCAAGTACTTTATGCCCCACTCCCTACACACTCTACCCCCACCATTTTCCCACATACTTCCCAGAATTCGAGCTTCAAGTACACAGATCCTGATCTCCCATATAAAGGCCACTACTGTCAGTTCAGTGTAGACATCTCTGCAGCGTGTTTCCATAGGATTGTTGGCAGGTGATCTCATTACCAAATTATTATTTTTATGTATGGGTGAAAAAAAAATCTCACTGACTCTAGGAAAGAATGTCCCACATTTTTGAAACAGTTCAGTTTGCTTTTCAATAACATATTCAAAGTGGAAATGTTTACAACCGCTATGACATAACGTTCTTAAAAACAATTACAGAGTATCACCCAGTCTAAAAGAACTGGGAGACAGGACTGTGCTGCCAACAGAACCAGCAGAGGGAGCTGGAGGGCAGCCACAAAGGGAACCAAGGGGCAACCCTTCTTTCTGTAGAGACTCCCTGCTGAATATTCAGGGCCACTGCCGCCTGGAGGGGGCCTCCTGGCAGGGCTGACATGGAGATGGTCTCAGGTTCTCTGCCCTCAGTTTTCATAAGACTATGACCTTTTGTAAATCTGATCTTCATTAAGCCAGTTTAAAACATGTTTTGGGTCCAAGATGAATTTAGCTAAATAGTTCAGTATTTCCCAATATTCTAAGGTGCCCGGAGGAATCCTCTACAAGAATTTGTTTTTATTAAGAGAGTCGTTAACAACTATGTACTGATAAGCATGTATACATTCCGGTGAGTAGGGAAGAGAAATGTCAGCACCTCACATACACTGCTGCTGCTGCCTATTAAAATGAAAATGTCTGTTTTTACAAATTGTATTAGGCCATGATGACATTCTTAAAACTGAATTGAAAGGAACAGGCAAAACGGTAAAGAGAATTTTCAAAAATCTGAGTGTTTTTCAGTTATGATTCCACAATTCTAATCATGAAGCTTCAGATAAGTACATACAGTATAAATTTAGATACTAAAAATTAATGAAGCTATAACTGGCATTTTACATTCCCCAGAAATGTAATCCCCAGTGTTTCACACTCTATTCCAAATTCTGAACAGAGTAGAGTTTATAACACTCTGGTCAGGGTCATTTATGCCAGAATAAAGAGCAAGGGAATTCTCCCTGACAAACGAGAGCAATCCAAATATGCAACCATGATGCAGAGGTGTTTAAAACAAAGCAAAACAAAACCAGAAGCAAGTTACTGCCTGCTTTAAAGCCTAATACTTAAATTTCTTCTTACATTATTAACAATGATCCTTGGAAACGAGAAAGAACTGTGATGTGACTTCACTCCAGGGACATCTAAACCATGGCTCTTTGCTAATCAATTGCAGGCTGCCCTGCTCTTGCTCTGGCTACACATTTATGTGAAACATGGACAATGTTATTATGAGTCTGCTGTAATGTCAGCACGGGGACACTGGGATCCCAGACCTCAAGCCCAGATTTATGTGTTTTTTTATTTTTAAAAATTTCACATAGAGCCTCCTTCCCAAGAACATCTGAGACAAGGTCTGGGTTGTGGAGCCCAATTACAATGACATTCCCCCCAATTTCAGGATGGCTCTGGGGTATCAGCCACTCCTCAGGGACACAGCACAATTAATAGATGCAGAAAACAAGGGTTATTCCTTTCTAACAAGTGGGCAACACTCCTTGAATGTCACTTCCAGATTAGTTATGAGCTAACACAGTCTACTGTGAGAATGTATTAGACTTAGTTGTTTTACATGTGCATTTGAGGCCAATGCTGTGTCTGATTCACATTTGTTCCCCTGTCACCTAGTACCGAAGCTGGCACATAGTAGAGGCTAAACACCTGTTTGTTAAATGAGTTAATGAGGCTGAAGGGCCAAGCTGCTTGCTCACTGGTACAGCAAGAGAATTAGCCTGGGCAGAGGGAAATCTGAGGCCTTAAAGCAAAGACTGAAGTTTCCTGAGGAAGAAGGAATTCTGCACTCAGACTGAAGCAGAGAAACCTTGCCTGACTTTCCCACCTGCTAGCCTGCAGATTTCTGGCTCCAGATATCTCCTCTTACTTGAATTTCCAGCCTACCTGTTGCCCTACAAACGTCAGAATAGACATTTCCCCATAGTCACAGGAGAAAGTCATTCTCTATATACATACATTCCATCGGTCTGTTTCTCTCATACAACAACTATGAAACAGATGTGCCCCAGCACTGTACATGAATTTGAAGACACTGTTCAGAAGGAAAGATGGGAGCCTGGGGTGTAGCCACGTTATTTACCATTTTGGAGAAGGTCCCTGCTAGCTGCACTGGCTATGACCCAAAGGTTGGATTTGTACCACTGGGTAGGAGGTCAGAACTCATTGTTGAGACAAGAATAGTGTTCTCAAGAGCTGTCAGACTCTCCTCTGAGGCCACAACATCCATTTAGCCAGCTGACACCCCTGTCTTGGCCCCACGGGAGTTCTTTCCTTTCTCATCCTCTTGTTTCTCTCCCATGACTCTACCACATTCTGCTTCTGTGGGCCAGGCTGGGAGCCAAACAAGTCAGAATAGTTTGTAAGAGAAATGAATCCTGAGACAGGAGCTGTGAGAGAGGACGTGGCCGCAAAAGGCGAGGTGCTGGCCTTTCACGCCCCCCGGCACCCAGCTATGGGGAGAACACCTCTGTTCTAAAATTGCGCCAAAGTAAACCTCCGCCGGGGTCCCCAACAGGCTCATTCTGTCCCAGCAAGGGAAAAAGCACTCTTCGGCTAATGGCTGGAACATCCAGTGCCGGGTCCCGGGTGTGCCCTATCAGTGCAGTCCAGAGGCAGGTGGAGACGTCGCCAACCTCAAATGACGCACCGAGCTTGGGGCTGCGACCAGAGTCCCCACGATGACACTCACCTATCTCCTCCCCCAAGGAAGAGTTGAGGATGGCGCCGGCAGACATGACGACGGCGCAGCTGCGCAGGCCGCGCGGGTGGAGCTGGCCAAGCGGCACGGCGGGGACCAGT